GTGAGGTATCCCAGAAGCAGAAAGGTACACAGGGTATATACTCACTTATAAGTGGATACTAGACACATAGCACACTGTTAGGCCTCAAACCCAGGACAAGTCTCACTTAGTACCTGTGCCTCCTCCCGGCGCTTCTCACCCTGCCCCCACTCCAAATCTCTCCCTCCCCAGGGCTGGGCTTCTGATTCCTTTCCCCAGCCTGATTCCTATATCGCCATTTTGGCTACACCAGTCTCTTGGCCTCTTGGCCCCAGGTTCGTTCTGTCTTTTTCTCTGCCTCCTCTCTCTGTCTCTCTCTGCCTGCCTCTCTCTGTCTCTATCTTTCTCTCTCTGTCTGTCTCTGCCTCTGTGTGTGTGTGTGTGTGTGTGTGTGTCTTTCTCTGTCTCTGTATCTCAGCAGCCGCTCCTCTCTTTCTTTCCCTCCCACTCTCTCCTTTCATAGTTGGTTTAGTTGGCTGCCCATGTTCAGCCTGGACTCTTCCCTCTGCCCACTTTCTCCCTTATGTTCACAGTAGAGATCTTCCTCATACTCTAGGAGTACTCATGTCCTCCTTTCATTCTTTCATCCACATACAAATAACATTATACTGAGCAGGCACATTTATGTATTGAGGAATATATACACATGAGTGTGTATACACACCCAGATGTAGACACACATAAACACACACAAAGAAAAAGAGGCCATGAATTTGAAAGAAAGCAAGGGAAGGATATATGGGAGGGCTTGGAGGGAGAAAAGGGAAAGAGGAATTGATGAAATTACATTAGATTATATCTTCCAATCTTAAAATTATTTTAAAGCAGTGTATATAGTTGGGCCTAGTGACATAGCCTTCAATCCAAGCACTCAGAAGGCAGTGACAGGCACATCTCTGAGAATTCCATACCAGACAAGACTACACAGAAAAAAAAAAAAAAAAAAAACCAACCCTCAAAAAAATGTATCTGGAATTCAAGTGTGGTGGTATATGCCTGTAAACCCAGCACCTCAGAGGCAGAGGCAGGTGAATCACAAGTCAGAACCAGCTATGTCTATAGAGCAAGTTTAATGCCACTCAGGGCTACATAGCAAGATTGCCTTGAAAATAGAAAACCATGCTAATGGGCTTGGTTTTGAGAACTTTGGGGGCTGGAGAGATGTCAGTAGTTAAGAGTGTTTACTGCACTTTCAGAAGATCCAGGTTTGGTTCCCAACAACTAAATAGTAGCTTACAACCACTTGTAGCTCAGGTTCCAGGGAATCTCATGTCAACTTCTGGTCTCACTCCTGTACGTATTCTGAATTTGATTGGGGCAAAAAATGTAAAAAAACAAAAATAAAAAATAAAAAAATAAAATAAAAAATAAAAAAACAAAAAACATCACTCAGAATACGTCCCGAGATCCTTCGAAAATGAAAGAGATCAGAAGGTTGCTGAGCAATGTGAAGGGACTTCCACAGAGGACTGTGTAGTCATCACCACCTAACATCTGACTCCTGATGGTAGAGGACATAGCGAGCCTTTGTGGCTGGGGCAGAATGGGGTGAGGAGAAGATGGAGGAACAGGCTGCCACCATTGCTGCAGACCTGAGCACATGAGTCACTTGTTCCCTAAGTTCTCAAGTTCCGGTTTGTGAGCCACTCAGATCAGCATTGCCTGAATTGTGTCATAATGCGCACTCTTTAGATCTACCCTGGATGGTGAAATTGTCAACCGAGACCGAAGCCCAGCAGCCCATGTTTTAATAAGCCCTCAGAGGGTCACCCTTGATTGCTGCTGAGTGAACACACTGGAAAAGCAAGTGCTAATTAATACAGGACTGGAAGAGTAGATTATAAACCCAGCTGTTTCGTCTGCTGTATGGAACAGCCTCACCGTGGTAAAAGGAAAAGTTATTTCCTTTACAGTTCTGGAGGTTGGCTGCTTCCTTCTTGAGGCTCTCAAGTCCTTTTTCCTATTGCCCCAGCTTTCTAAGCTGTTCTTATCCCTTAGCTCATGAACCTCCATCTTTGTTTTTGGGAGCCCACAGCACCTCCAAATCTCTTATCACCACAGTGTCTTCTCCCCAACCCTAGTGCTTCCCATTTACAAGGGCCTGGTCAGAGTATCTTCCCATCTCAAGTCCTTAACCACATCAGCAAAGTCCCCCTCGAAAAGTAACAAGTTAACTCTGTGGTGGGTGTGGGCTTCTCTGTGAGGCTGCTATTCTGCTTTACAGTGGGAAGGACTCATGAGAATGTGCCACTCACTTGTGTTCACGAAAATCAACCCTGTCTGTTAGGCACCTTTGCATCACGTGAGACACCCAAGATTAATAATTTAGCTCACGGTTTCAGTCCAGAGGCACTTGGCTTTGTTGCTCTGCGTCTGGGTTAAAAGCCAGTTACCCTGCAGAGGGCTCGAATCAGAGCAGAGGCACCTTAGCCCCAGTACACTTTTCATGGGTATGTCCCCAGTGACTCACTTCTTCCACTGGTGCTCCTCCTCTTTTGTTTCTACCACTGAACAAAATTTATATTATTTTGAGCTTTGCCCCAGGCAAATCAATCACCTCTGATGCAATGTGCCACACACACACACACACACACACACACACACACACACACACACAAAGGAAAATAGAGAGTGGGGCTATGGTACTCTCATGCTTTATCGTACCATGTCAGGATGGAATCCCTGACCCTCTGGACTCCTAGAGGCTATACATATTAGGAGCAAAAACATTTTCATGGGGCTCAGGTAGTGAGGCAAGGAAAACCAGGAACTGGCCTGGGTAAGATAAGCAAGTCCATAGGTAAGGGGCCAACTCAACCTCTAGAAACTTACTGAAACAAACATATAACAGATTGCATAAAATTACATGCTGTTTACTTAAATGGCAATAAATAAGAAGGCTATTTGCTGTGAACAACTAAAATGATGTCACATGTTCCCTAGTATTGAACATTGAACCATAACTAAGGTATAGGACAACTAAGTTCTAAGAACCAAGGCTCCCTCAGGACAGGGAAACCTTGCATACAGCTGAAGCAGCAGTTCTGTGGTATGCATACTGTTGGTATAATGTTCTTTTGGAATGTATACACCTTACCCTTGTTCATTCAAATGCTGATTTCTCTCCCCCACTCTCTGGTTTCAATCCGGACATTGCATTGTGATGTTTTTTTCTAAGCATCACCTGTCTCAAGTTTGTGTAAACCTGCCACTATTTGTTCTTTAATTTGTCAATTAAAAAAAAACAAAACAAAAAAAACAGCCACAATGTTGAGCAATGGAGAGGATAGGGTGGGACATCCTGGTTCAGAGTGGGAGGAGAAGAAGGAATCAGGATGAGAGGAAGGAGTAGGAGGGAGAAGAGAGAAGCTGGGAGAGCAGAGGCTGGAGGAGAGGTCTTGGAACCACGTGGAGGAATGAACGGGACCTAAGATATGACTAAAAGCAAATGTTATGGGTAAAATCTGAATGTAGGAAACTACATGGGCTTGGAAGTTTAGGCTGGAATAACTGCCCAGCATTGTGTTCTAGGTTAATTAAATAAATCCCAGTCTCTGTGTGGTGATTTGGGTATACAGCTGTTTAGTTAATTAATCGCAGCATTACTAAAAGATGTATTAAGAGTAAATATTAATGATATATTCAGCAGTGTATTAATGAGGTGTTTTCCCATGTGTTACAGTCTATAAGACATTTTCCATCACCTCATCCCATCTTCCTGCCCACCTTACAGCAGAGAGTCCACTAGACAGAGGGATCTATCTTAAAGATCACTTATGCAAGCTCTGCAGCCCTCAACGGTGCTTCATGGATCATGTTTCCATTCTGTATCTTGCATTCATAGGAACTTTCACCCCAAACGCCAGGCCCACAGGCTGACCAGTTAGTTTTTCCTGACAGAGCAAACAGAGGTCTGAGTGTGAGCATGCTTTCCATTTTTCATTTGCAAGTTTGTGATTATTGTTCATTCCAGACAATCTGGCCTTTTCAGAGGCAATTGAGCTCATGCTGACAGTACATACACCAAGTACACGACACTCAATTATGTGAGGGGTGTGTCTGATAGAGGGATTAGGGCAATAACCTGCAAGGAATACCCAAGTAGAGACCACTGACCAACACATCTCTAGAAATGTTCTAAGTTCTATAACACAGGTATGAACAAGTGGCTAAGAAAGGGCACATTCTCTCTGGGAGAGTTACGGAAAGCAAAACAGAAATGCTGTTTACATTGGGCTGTCTTGGATATACAAGATTCTGCATTAAGGAATAGCCACCTAATCCAAAGCAAAGAAAAAATATATGGTTTGGAGTATATAGATAATCTGAATGAACAGCCCAAAGAATCAGGATGGGAGAGATTTTCTGCATGGGAGAGGAGTTTCCAGGCAGAGAAGGCAAGCCTGGCTTACCAAGGCCCTTCCTGGCACTGGGACTACGGATGGGAAGGTGCACACCTAGTTCTCCAGGCCATACAGACCTTACAGCAGGCTGCATTTTCAGATCCTGCTGGGGGCATAGCTTCATAGGTACTGTGGCACCCTTGGTCAACTGAGCAAATCGACCAAGTTCATATGCATGGGGCGTGACCACACAGTACACGATGTGCCCTCATGTTATGGCTGCTATTCTTTCTCCTACCTGGGTTCCTCAGAGCTAGGAAACTCCAGTTCTTATTCCTCTACTACACACGACAGCTCTCCATTTCATAAACTCTTAGACCCAGCCACCATTCAGTCTCGAAAGGTTCTGTGTTAAATAATTTTACAATACTTTTCTGGATAAAGGCAGCTGCCTTGCTGGAGGGTTATTTTATCCTTTACACATATATGAAAGGAAACATCACCTTCCTTCTTCATCTTATAGGTACCAGTCATCTCCAACACCAGCGATGCTAGGGATTTTATACATAATGGGAATTTGCAATAAAACATAATTGTGCTTGAGAAACTCAACATCCCCAAAATCATCTCACCAATTCAACATCCAAAGTGAAATAACTACAAAACACTTCATTAAACTTGTTTTTTTTAAAAATGGTTTATTTGTTATAAAATGTTAAATACTAAAGCTAAAAACATACAAATTCAAGTCAGGCTATATTAAAATACATACATACCCTGTGAAAAATCTGATTACAAGTTTAATTAAACAGATGCTTTAAATAAAATAATTTTGAAGACGTTTTAAATCTAATTGGCCATCTCAGTGTAGCATCATTTGTAAAATTACAGTTGAAGTTTGGCCATTTTGGAAGTCTAATTCATCAGATTTCTCAGTCTTCCACCACTCAATATGAAGCCCCAGTGTGGCTTGCACATGAGAGGGCTTCAGCTACCATGCCAATGCTCTCCATTAGAAATCTAGTCCCTTGCAGGAGGAACAGGAAGGAAGTGGTCAGCAGCATGCAGAGGATGCACAATAAGCTGCAAACCTGGCCCTGGAAGAAGAAGCCTTAGTTCTACTACACGGCGTCCTTTCTCAGCAAAATGCCTGCTGGAAATTGAAGCAGAAATTATAACAAAGCACACAGCCGTCACAACCCTCACAACCAGCACTAATTTACCCAAGATCATTTAAAAGTATTTGAAATTTCCTATTACTTCCAATTCAATACTACTGAGGAGTCTGTATTCAAATGTTTAAGAACTCATTTATACTCTACCACATGGCTTTCCCAGTCACTCACAGGTAGTGACTTGTTCTGACCTTCCAGAATAAGCCCTACATGTTTAACTTACAAGACCACCAGTTTCCAGACTCAACTCCTACTCAGGAGAAACATCCTGAGTTATGATCTATTTAAATGTTAAAATAATATTTCCAAGAAAATACTTTGTTTTGCAACTCATATTTTTCAATTTCCTAAAATGTTAGAATTTTAAATGCTGTCAATAACAAGAGGGTGGGCATATGCTTTTGAGTATCGAAAGGCCACCACGGGATCTGAGAAAGCAGAGCAGCTTCTAGGCATCAGCTACAGCATCTGTTCTTTACAATGCTAAGCTGCCATGTGGAATTTGCCAATAGTTGATTAACTCAACTGATTAAAATGCAAAAGACAAAATGCATTCCAGCAACCTTCATTGACACAGTACAACTAAAATGAGCTTTCTTGGGATTCTATCTACAGGCATTCTTTCCCCTTTATTCTGACAGTATTGTATGCATAAAATCCTAACACTACATGATAAGACTGTTGAATCAAACTTTTGAAAAGTTAGAAAAAATATGCATACTAAAATCACTAGAAATTAGAAAAATATATCCCAGTACTAAATTTCAGATGACTATGATATTAATAAATACTAGCCTGTTTTTCCCATGCCCAAGCTTCTGAGCATCTTACAGAATCATTTCTGCAAATATAAGGTATGAGAAAAACTCTGCCTTCTATCCCAGTCATCATTGTCTCTACATCTTTGATTTACATCCTTTCTTATACCTTCCTCGGAGCCTTGCTACTTCATACCAAGTAGCCTATCAGTCCTTGGAAAAAAACCTCAGTTCAAGCCATTGGTATCGTAATCTTAATAGATCTACTTAGAGGAAAGAATTTTTAAGTGTTTGTGCCCAAGTCTCAGAAGGCATCAATTGCTGTGATTATCTTTCCAACTGTGGATACTCAGTCACTCTTACCAGCTTCCTGGCATTACATAATGATCAAGAAAGTATTTGCTCTTCTGGGGTAGAGCAAGAACTGAGGGAGTATTCCAAAACCAAGAAGTGTTTCAGCATTTCTTCCCGCCAAGGAAGGGTGGTGTGGAGGCACTAGGGTACACGCTTCCCCAAAGTTAGAGTCTCCACTCTGCTCTTGTGGGCAACACGCCACGTGCTGTCTCCTGGCTATCAGCAACTCTTTCTGCTTCCACAGAGAATAATGTTTGAGCAAGAACAAAGCATTTTCAGCCAGGCATGGTGGCACACACCTTAAATCCCAGCACTCTGGAAGGAGAAGCAGGCAGATGACTGTGGATTTGAGGCCAGCCTGGTCTGTCTGTTCCAGGTCAGCCAGAGCTGTTACACATAGAAACCCTGTCTCGAAAAAACAAAACAACAACAAGAGGAAAAAAAAAAAAAAGAAAGGGGGAAAAACAAAACAAAACAAAACAGCATTTTTCTGCTGTTGGGGGAGCCAGTGAAAAGTGAAACTATGAAGCCCTTCTTCAAACGTCTTTAAGAATTTAACAGCAGCACCAGCAGAGCACTAAACTAACTAGCAGGCCCTTCTAAGTTTGGAGCTGGCAGACTCCAGAGGTCACACAGAGATAAATAACTTCCAGCCCTGCTTAGTGTGCAGCCTGATCAACAGGCAGAAGTGGTTGGATGGTCCAGATCAGTCATTTGTTCTTCATCATATTGATTCAAACTCTTACTGAACTGGAACCAGCTGGGATGTGACTGTTACAGACTTGGGCAAATTTCTATTCCTATGATCTCATGTGGCTCTGGTTACTTCTCCTCTGGATTCCATCATTACACTTGGCTTTTAAATGATCCTAATCTTAGCAGAGCAATCGCTCAGACATGATAATATTTTTGTATTTATCCTAGATGATTTTTTAAAATTAAACATCTCTTAAACTAGGAGAGTCTTGATGTCATTAAAACAATCGGGCAACCTAAAGGAGAACCCACTGTCCAACAGTTTTATATTTTAGGTAAAGCATTAATTAAATCGGTAGTATATTTTGTTCCCTTTTAAGACCGCTGTAGTCTTTCAAAGATAACTAGTAAGAAGCTATATGGTTATTTTTAAAACACTCATCCTGATTTTAGTCATATGAATTTTACTAGAACCCAAGGGTACCCATTCTTCATAGTAATAAAAGTGTATGTATACAAAAGCTCAGGTCACATGACTAAACAGCGACATTTCCGGGAGTGGATATACTTCCTGTACTCCGCCAGCTGCTTCAAATACATGTTTGATGGCCATCTGTGTTTTTCAACAAAACTTCGTTCTTCCACTAAAATTTTAAAGGAAAAAAAAGTTAATTGCATATGCTTTTTCATCAAGATGAAATATCAACTGATTTCCTATATGACAGAGGAGCTCAGTCTCTTATGCCTCCCATCCTTTCCATAGCCTTCCAGAATCACTTAATAGAATTTGGGTAAAAAGTCCTAAGGATATATGCAACAATTTACGGTGACACACACTCTTCCACCAAGTAGTATTTGACGGCTGTCCTTTTCTTTTTCAACAAAACTTTTTTTTTTACACTAGAGATAACAAACTCATCTTTTCTGTATGGATAACTTGGCCTTTCAAACTCTATAAAGTCTCCCTGGCTCTGTTTCCCATCCAGTTGTAGTCTACTCATTCTTGTTACTACCTATGCTCCAAAGTCAGCCCCAGGGTAACTCCCTGGTTCCCAGGCTTGCTCCACTAGCCTCCCCTTCCGCTGTGCACTCTGCAGCCACTTTCACAGGAACCGGGGTTTCAGTCCAGGCCCTCACGCCAAGCTCCACCACAGTCTCTGACTCTATGGCTCTCTGGCTTTGACTCTCCAGCTTCCCATGTCCTGTCAGTTGCCTCCGTTGATGGGGAGGTCTACCAATGCTCATTAGTCAACATCTGTGAATCCCACTGAGGCCCAGGTGTCATCCTGCCTCTGACACACCTGGCACTCAAAACATTTAAGGGTTTGGGGATCCCTCCCTTATATATGCTCTTGCATTTCATTCTGCTTAGTCAGTTTAATTTCTCCACTTGCTGTTTAACTTCACGGGCATGTGGATGAACAAGGGCCTGATGACAAGCTCTAAATGACAGGAAACAAGCTGTCTCAGTCTCCGTTTCCTGAACAAGCAAAGGTGACTAAGGTGGCTTTTTAAAGACAAACTTCAAACTGGGTGTGGTGGTGCACACCTTTAATCCCAGTACTTGCAGGGCAGAGGTGGACCGACCTTTGTAAGTTTGAGGCCAGTTTGGTCTACATAGAGAATTCCAGGACAGCCAGAGCTACAGAGTGAGAGCATGCTTCAAAAAACAAACAAACAAAAAAGAAAGAGAGAGGAAGGAAGGAAGGAAGGAAGGAAGGAAGGAAGGAAGGAAGGAAGG